TTTATAAATAATGTGTGAGAGAGATAACAAATTATTTGTTTACACCCTCGCCATCCCTTAAAATGTCAGGGTTTATTTTTGTGTTATTTAAATAGGTTATTGTTTTTATAATTTTGCCCGATATTCTATTGAGCTGTGTTAACAAATCTATATAAATAAAAACGTAGTCTCGCTAAACCTCGAAAACAGCTGGACCGATTTGGCTAATTTTGATTTTGAATGGGGATGATGACAGGGTATGACAATTAAAAATATAATTAGTCCGTAAGTTAGGTAATTAAAGAATAGTACACACGTATTTTTTTATTTTGTCGTATAATAAAACAACACTTAGATAAAACGAATCAAAGTTTAGAAGTGGGGGTTAAAACGTCATTCCTTAGTATAAAATGTACTGAGAAGTGACGTCACGCGACATTTCAAATCAATATATCTTCGAAACTATTCGTTTTCGTAAGAAAATAAAAAATACGTGTCTAATGTTTTTAAACTGTCAAACACCAAGCGGTCACCGGTGACCGCAACCTATTGTTCTATCATTGTGTCTACAAAACCGGTACTCGACGAGTTAAATAATCTACCAGACGGACATTAAAATAAAAATTAGTCGTCTACCCCATTATTCGGGAAAGTCCAGGGAAGGTTGAAAAGGTGAGAAAAGTATGGTTGAGGCGGTATGACACTTGCTGGGCCAGCTAGTACTCAAATAGATAATACCAATTTATTTTTGGGGACTATTAACCATTAACATGTAATAAAATGTATGAACCTTTGTATGTTCTGTTGATAATGTTTTAAATTAAAGCTAAATATATATAGGTAACTTAAATTTTAATAAACCTGGTTCTAGGCAGGTCACGTTTGGACTCAGGTACCTACTACGGATTAATAACAATAGCAATTGGTGTTAATTGACTTTTTATTTATGGACGCCGGTGAACATTTCCATTGTATTTCGATATCGAGATTAAAATGTATATTTCGTGATTATGAATTTAAATTTATTGTAAAACATGCTTTGCTTTGTTAGTTATGAACATTGACCTTATGTTAAATATTAGAATTTGACTTTTAAAACGCTATAAAAAATATGAAACGGGTTCAATAAGATCTTGATAAAGATGAAGTAGTTTATGCGATACAACGACGTCTGTTGTCATAGTGAGAGGTAAATAAACACAGTCGTGAAGAAATAATAAAACTTGTATCTAAACTAGGTAGAAATACGTTTTATAGGTATTACTGAGAACTTGCCATTGTTTTCCTCTTGGAAGATTCACGGTATTTTTCGCACGATCTTAAATTCTGAATACCTTCTGTACCATCTAACGGGTGAATATAGTGGTTTTTTTAGTTCATGCACGTAGTTACTAATTGAACGTTCTCACGAAAGCAAAATGCTCGTGAATTAGTAGGTTGTTAAGTTTCTAATTATATTTTTGCCCGCATACGTTTATGTGAACAAAACCTTACTTATCTTATTTTCCACATCTATAGACACAGGTAAGTAAGCAAGTAAACACTATAAATATCCACATTTACAACCATTTTGTTTACCCTTTGCCTTCAAAAACAAACTTGATAGAACTACCTACTACAGTATTTCATAATGATATATTTTTCTATAGGTAGCTTTAAACTAATAAATGTGTCCAGCTTTTTGAGAAAAAATACTAGAGAGTGTAGGTTCTTACCTCACTAAAATCACCCCGGAGGTAACATCTGCATCTATAAGGCAATCGAGTCATATAAACTGTCCAGCTCCGGAGCCTTCACGCCACGGTGACAGCCCTAGTCTGGGAAAACGTTTTTTAAATCTCCCTAGATAATTGACATCTGATACTTACTTATGCAGGTACTTTAAATAACTAAGTAAGTAGGTAGGTAGGTACACAAGCGTGTGTTTCCTAAATATACCTATGCAGATTATGCTATATCTATTCTATATTTTCCAGATACGCTCTGTTTCAAAACACAAACTTGAATTTTATTGATTTAATTACTTAATTAACTTTGTTTAATACGAGCCACGAACGTATGTAGATAATTAAGAAGTTCTTTCTTTATGTTCACCGCCTTTATTAATGGCGTCTAGACTAAATGGATTATGTTTTTTTATTGACAACAAATAAATATGTAGGTACTGCGACCTTACCTTCGATCGATATAAAACCTAAAGTTAAGTTCCACCCACTTTTTCGTAAATTATGTATGACGTCTCATATCAGTTGGAGATTAATTATATGACTTCAAGTGACTACTACATTATTGATAATATCAATAAGAAAACTAGATTTTTTTTATCAGAACTTATATCAGTCCATGATAAGAACTTTGGGGTTTTAAAGTCATGTTCAAATATCGTAAACGTAGTGCGAAAAAAATTAATAAAAATAAATGCCTAACTGGTTATTTAAGTACGTAAGTATAGGTTAATCTATGTATATAGGTTGGTTATACCCGGCACAGTTATATACATCTATTTTTAAGTTACGATAACATGTAAATAGGTGGAGATTGAATTACACACATTAACACCGGTCGTTGTTATTAGATCATCAAATAAGGTCACAGCCTCTCTACTAAGTAGTTGTGTCATAGCACTCTAAACGCGTTGTACCTGGACCATTCGCTCTGTATACACAGAATTTAATTCAGCAGTTTAACATACTCGTAAAATATCTTTTAACTCTTTTAAAGTATACTTATGGTAGGTAGTTTTTGCGAGTTTCACCTATTTAAGTATAATATTTTTTTGCTTGGAGATTTAGCCCGTTGTTAAAGATTTACTGGTACGTAAACAGAGGAGTCTTTTACCAAACAAATATGTTATAATTCCAGGTTCAGTGACTTGTTTGATTTGTAGTTGTTAGTATCAATAATACTGAGAAACGACTTCAATAATATGCAATATGTAATTCATATTTTGCCTGAATTCTGAAACTTGAACCTAATATTTGGTAGAAGCCCTTGTAACCCCTCGATAAACTAGACAATTGAATCGAGTTGAAAGTTGATCTGTCAAACAATTAATGTCTATGTGCCATCGAACATTTAGGACTAATGAACCGAACGATATCGGTCTAAGTAAAAAACTTTTTATATGTATTATAGATACCTTTATCTATTTACCATTAATATTGATACAAATTATTGTCTTCCTCGTCCACTACCTTTCATTAGTCACCAATATCTGAAATATTTGTTTTATAATCGTTAATGCCAATTGCATTGTTTACATTACTACCTGAGCTGGTACCGACAACATGCATATAGCCTTGTTGTCTTTCAGAGTAATTGAGTCGCGGCCTGATTTATCGTGCGTTTCTATCATACGATATTTTGATAATAATTTAACTTTGCGCTTGTTTTCCTAAAGAAAAAAGGGAATAAAACGGAACTCATATTAGGTAGGTACATCTAATATAACATAATGTCATCAATAAAATACCTACATTATGTTATAGAGTGTCGTTAAATTGATCTTGATTGACAGTCGATTAATTAATTCGACCTTGATCACGGCCTAGTTTTCCGGTTTCGGATATGTTATCTCATATTACACGTTTCGTTTTGACATCACGATTTGATATTCACAAACAAGGCATTCACACACGCAGATCTTGAAACCTAGATGTGAACTATAGGAACGTGTAAATGTGTAGTAACAAGTAAAGTGTTTACCTATATCTTATCTCTAAGGGCGAGGCGTTACCGTTGACTTTGTTTAACAGTTAAATGATAAAATAAACCAATAGTAGATAATGCGGCAATAACTGTAGAAGTAACCGATTCGCAAAAGGCCTAAAAAACAAATAAGCATAAAATATTACAAAACTAGTCCCGTTGTAGGCTAACAGAACTGTTTTGACGTAACATTATTGAAGTATTAATTACCGTTTGAGGGAAAATGACCGAAGCACTGGCACTATTGTGAAAAGTTAATTCCTTTTGACGGTTGAGCAACGCAACGCGCGCACTGCGAAGAATTAAATCCATTTTACTTGGTTTATAGGTATATCTACGTCAGCTGCTCCAGTACTCACTTTATTTAAACTACGACTAACAATATGTACTGTACGTACAATGTATATCTGAGTATCTAGTGTTATTATTTCACAGGTTCAGTATGAAATCAGCTGTCGGCGTGGAAACACGGTCTAAATTTTAAATAATAGTTCTAGTGCAGTGCATAACTCGACGTAGTGTGGAATAATGAGTGAGAATGAGCAGTCGCGTTCGTTAGAGGAATCAGGGTGAGAAGTGCCGGTTGTCTAGTGCTAGTGTCAAAGATTCTTGGTATCGATGCGCGATGTGTACCTTCGTGACTTTGCGCTCTATTAACATCAAGTTTTTGTACTCTATCGTGTGATGGATAGTGTCTTGTTTGCTAACGACCCCTATTGTAATTTTTGTACTGATTAAATTCAAATAGGTGTTTTTTCTTACAAGTAATAGTAAACCCTAGACGTTTTTTGTAGTGACCTGTGATTGTGTCAATTAACACAGTCTTGTAATGGTTTTGTTTGATGGAAAAGTAAAGGTCTATTACCTTTACCAACGACAGAGTGACCTTACTTCGACGAAGAAAAAACGCATTGCATCGCAATGTAAGTACACGGCTACACGTGCCCTCCACAACAGTATGTGCATGGAAAGCACCACGCGTGACCGTCCTCTGAACCGTGATGAGCAGACAATAGGGAGTGCTCGGTCTGTACTGGCCCAAGTATAGAGCATTAGCGTAATTGGTTGTCTGAATCACACAACATAGGTACCTATTATAAACTCTTAATTAGATTACAGATACACCACTCAGTATCTAATCCGTTTTCCGCCTGTTTTGTTTAGTTTGTACACTTCTGAAGTTTCAGTTAAAGAACTGTAGGTAGTTCTTTTCGTACTAGCAGTCCTTTTATGTTACAATTATCAATGAGTACTTACGATGACAATATGATATAATACTTTTTCATTAATCTCTATTACCTTTCTCTTTTCAGATTCCGGTTGATAAGAATGGCAAATTAAGAACGTTGGAATTGCGAGGAGTTTACTCCACATCAAAATTAAAAAGTTTGGATACCATTAAATCTTTTGATGTATCAAGACCTGCCGATGTCACTGAAAAGACCCATGTTGTTCCAAAAATCAAAAATGATATAAAGGAACCAGTATTTTGCAAGACTTATACATCATTCATACCAAAAATGAGCTTAAATTTGGAAAAAGTGATTGAACAAAATCCTAGAATTTTAGATCTGCGTGAAAAATTAAATCAAATAACGAAAAAACAAGATTGCAACGTTGATAAAAAGACAAAAGGTCTTATCAATGATCTAACACAGCATCTGGTTGACAAGAAAGATGAAGACGAGTCTGGTCCGTACAGTTTATTGTTTGATCTACAGTCCGATCCTTCTACATCATTCAACGAAAGTGCTGCAGTGAACGTTTGGAACCGACCGAAATCAGAAGTTCTGGGCGATACTAATTCTCAAAGTTTGAATAAGTTAGTTAATCCTATTAACAAAAGTGCTGACAGGTTACCAAATGTTTTGAATTTCGATGAAAAACCAATGAGGGAATTTGAATACTCTTGTGAAAATGACTTTAACTTTCCAGCAAAGAAGACGTTCAATACACATTCTCGGTCTGATCTCTGCTTACAGTTAAAAACACATGTTCACACCAGATTGTTTGACTCGAACTTGAGTCCAAATGATAACTCATTAAATAGAACGAATGAAGAGAACTCGCTGGATGATAGTTTAGGCATTTTGACTCCAGACCAAATGGACGATATATGTTACTTAGAAAATGCATTTTCACCTACAGTGGAGGGACTACCAATTTTCTGTGATACTAATGAGAGTAAAATGTCTCCGGATAATGGTGATACCCCATCGACTGATAAGACTGAAAGCAATTCTGCAGCATCGACTATACAAAATGATGGTTTTGATAGCTTAGAGAGTAAAAGGTGTACGTTTGAAGGTCAACTGGCTCCCATTGTGAGCTTGGAAACAATAATGAATAACGAAGACCACAATTCCCTAACATCCTTTGATTCTCCGGCTCATAAATGTAGTGATACATTGTCTAATCAAGAGCCATTGTCAATTGGTTCGAAGATCTTTGATATGCCATCCCAAGATATTGCAATAGGAAAAGATGAGTTGTCTTCTAATTTAATCGACGAGGAATTCATGCCATCTATTCATAGCAGCATTTTAGAACCAGTTAGTTCTATTGCTGAAAATGTTCCCAATTTAGAAATAGCTCTAGATTGTAAGCACGGAAATCTATTGATTTCGAATAGAATTGAACAAACACCATCACCTGAGGATTTGCCATTAGACAGTTCAGAAATAAATGGAGAAATAAGTACGTACTCTCAGTTCTCTGCATCAACACTTCATGATTCCCAGACTTATTCGGATGGTAAAAATGACTATCCAAAATCAATGGAAACTTCCAAAGTTTCTAATAGTTTCATAACAAGTATTACTAGTATTACAAGTTTAGATGGTTACCAAGGAGATGGAGAAATGTCTAGACCAGTGAGCAGGGGAGCTGATCATTCCATTGAACACCGTGAAGATGCTATTGAAATGGACTGGCAAAATGTGCCCGTAACTAGAAGAGCAGATCCCATGACAGACTCTGATTTTTTCACAGAAAGTGATGCCGATGGCTTAGACGATCACATGCAAAGAGGTGACCGACGCGCTCAAGTGATAGATGGAGCGCTTTACGGAGGAAAGAAAGTGAATGGTAATCCACCTCTAATCGTAAATAGAAACGAGGACTCTTGCATGGAATCAAGTGGAGTGTACACTGACTTTGAAAATCATCGTACATCTCCTGTTTTCTTAAATGTCATCGACGACATGTCTCCTGATGGGTCTACTCCTTCCACTCGTTCGGAATGCAGTCAAAAGAACGCCAGCACAGGAAACCTGAATTCATATTTTTCACCTTTGCAAGATACTTTGGAGGAAAATAAATCTGATACTTCTCACATTATAGATGACGATGAGACTCCGAAGAATACTAGCAAAAGGAATTCACTGAACAGCGTGAAAGATATGAAAGGCACTGAAAAGACTAAGGAAGAAAAGAGAAGCTTTACTTTGAAAAAATACAAAATGCCGAAGCGTGATGTGCCAAGTAAACTAAAAAGTATGCTGGCTAACAGAAAGACTGAAGCGGATAACAGTGTACAGAGTAGCCCGAAGACTGTGAAAAAGACCGACAGGAGAGAGAATCTGGCGAAGAAGAATTCAATAGATACGAAGAATGATTATAAGATAAAACCATTCAAGGATATTAAGTCAAAGGTGGACTGCTCGTTTTCATTACAACGATCTCAAACCTCGTGTAGCGTTACTAGAATGTTAAGCTCAAAGTCGTCTAATAACAACGTTAAACCTAAAAGGTAAGTAACTTGTGTAATACTTAGTTATAGGCACATTAATGTGCTGCATCTTGAAATCATTGCAGGCTTGCTTAGGAATAACAATCACCTACGTTTGAATAAATTACTTATATGTAGGTACCTTATACTTACATCAACTTACTAAACTGCGTAGTTAAATGTGATTGATTTGTGAAATCATACCTACTTACTTGCAAAATATATAGGCATGTTATAATTAGTTTTATATGTTAAACCTTGATTTACTTTCTAGCACCCAAAATTTGATTACTAAGACATAAATATGCTACCTACTTTATATATGTATACGATATTTTATGCTTATAATTTTTTGCAGTCGTCATATGCGTATGCGCATGGAGCTGGGTTCGGCGGCAGGCAGTGGCAAGAGCAGCCTACACAGTTCCCAGAGTGACATCAGCGCCAGCAGCACCCCTCTGGGTAAACACTCCACTGGCCGCTTCCCGTTGCTCAGTAAGTACCTCATTCAAGTCATACATATATTACACACCTATATCTTTACCAGGAACAGATTTTGTCTAAAATGTCGCCGATGAAACTATAATTCTCGAATCGCCTGCCAAGAGTATAGGCGTAGAAATGGATTTTAGATAATACTGTCTTTTAGACAGTATATTTTTTATTTTTTTAGACAGATAGTAAAGAAAGGAAAACCTTTCTTTACTATAGGTCTGGATGTATACAGCTGATGACAATTGAATTCTAAAATTATATTATAATGAATTATTTAAAAACAAAGGTCCATTGAAGGCATATAGCATGCGTGAGGGTTTGTGCCACAAGGGCAAAGAAAGGTCATGAATTTTAACTCTCCTTTTCAAATCCTAGTTTAGTATAAATTTGAAGGGAAGATCAGGAACGTTAGAAATGTATGACCATGAGTACTCCTAGCGCCATCTAGTGTCTTGTTTATATATTTGTTGTTTCACCTATTGTTTAAGGATGATTTAATGGAAATTGTTTACCTTTAAAGAAATACAGCTAGATAAAAATTTATAAACAACGGAAGTCTGTTATTGTATAGGAAATAAAAATATGGCTATTGGCTATCACAGCCTCGAATTCTTCGAATATAATATCTATCGTGATTTAGTAAAAGTAGGTCGTTTCTTCGAATATATGCGAGTGTATAATGATCGTAAGAAAAGGTATGAATCCATAAATGCTTTCTTTTGTAGCAAAAGAAATAAACGATAGATAGACTGACATATTGTATATACTTCTAAATAAAACAAAGAACACAGACACAGACGTGATTGAATCATAATTCATGATTCAATTAACACATCTACAACGAATTTTCCACACAAAACTATAAACAGACGTCGGAAAATCTAAGATCACGCATACCACAGTCAACCCGGCGTGATAACAACGCAACACATAACTTCTAGTTTAGACACACCACTCCACTCCAAGGTTACAGCATCGACTCCATGTGATTCAATGACATGTGTGAATTACCAAACAATCCACGTCGTCGTCTCATTAAAATTTGCTACACATACTTCTCATGTGAACTGATTTTGAACTGTTGATAATCAACATAATGACTATTTTGCAGTGCTTTTCGCACAGAAGTCATAAAATATGATAAATTGGTTTTCATTTTGTTGTCATCAAATATTTCCTACTTACTATTCAGTCCGTCTTGGTAGGTATTTGTAAGTAATTGACGTTATTTCTGTATGAATATTCAAATATTCAATGCGACAGTGGCAAGTCGCAGTGTTAACCCGCTGCTTATTGTTTCTGCTCCTAATTCTTGTGTAAATTTTACGATATACAGCGTAGAGTTCATGGTAATGTTGTCCTTGTTTGTAAGGTTCAAATGATTTAACACCTCCTATTATATTTGTGATAGCAATTATCAGGTGTGTGTGGACGCAAATTGTAAAACATGTCAATTGTTCAGTTCTTAAAAAGAAAACAAAATTTAGTAATTTTCAGAATCTGATTACAATGTTAGTTCAATTTAAGTATTGTTATTCTTATAGTATTTATTAGTTTAATTAAAATCAACAATGGTCTCAGCGCCTACTTAAAATTTCATCTCATGCCTTGCGTTTGTTATGAGCATTGCTATGCTACTTTTGTCAGGGACATGATAATCAATAGTCATAAATTATCATACTAATAATAATGAATGATGCATTTTATTATTTATAGTTAATCAGGGTGAAAAAATTACGTAATTATTTTGTAAACCACAAATTAAAATAAGTTAAAAGTTTCACTTAACCAGTGTCATGCGCCTACTATAAGACGAAAAGCAACTATTTGCTTATGAGTTAGTTGAATATTGTATTATCTCTTAAGACTTAATGAATGAATAATTGGAATGTGTAATACCATAATTAGGTATGTGTGACATCGAATCATTTTTGTAGTTTGTTAATTGGGTACCTTATAAGAACTAACTAGGTAGGTACTTACTCAACAAAATACCTACGAAATAAGATTATTTTCCTGTTTATTAAATAAAAATAAGTTTAAAATAGGCGGATTCTCCATATTTATAAAACTAGTCATCTGCACATGTTCTTATCAAAATCAAAAATTATTTCCATTCGATTAGTCCCTAAAATCTATATAGAAGAGAACGTTACTAACAAGTGATTCCTTAGATTAAACGCACAAATATCTGTGAAGAATGCTACAAATATATCATTCAGAAGCAGGTTCCTAAATTCCGAAATCCTGCCCACGTACCCCAATTAAATATCAGCTGTGCAAGGAATACGGATCGATGCGGAAGGTCAACACTACGGCTGACTACGGCAGGCAAAGGGAACAAGCAAGTTGAGACCGCATGGCAACTGTCGTTTCCTCTCGGCTAGGTTCAGTTTGCCAGTCGCCGGTGAGACGCGAGCCGGCGCGCGCCGCCACTCCGCCAGCCTGTCGCGTTCGTGACGTCTACTTGCAACGCGAAAAATCAATGGATTCCCCTCCGACACTAAGGTTAACCGCATACCGCATTTTCTCAAAGAAAATGTGTCATATGTCAGTGAAGTGTTGACGATCCATGCACCTGGGATACCAATCATTGATAATGATAAGAACACTACGATGTTAAATGCAACGCGTCACGTGAACGGTTTACTTTCAAGTTTTGTTTTGTGTGGTGTCATATTTTAAGTTATCATTATTTTTTAATGTAACCTATTTGATTATTTTTCGTTAATTACGTAATGCCCAACTTGACATTTTCTTTAATAATTAATTTTCGCTCCAGTGTTTTTGTTTACGTTGTGGTTTGAGACGTAGTCTTGGACGCATTGTTGTTTTTTATGTTTTAATCGTTTTATGGTCATTAGAACACAGTAAATAATAATTAGATACTTGTTATTATTGTAATGCATTATTCCGTTGTTTTTTTAAATCAGTTATACAGTATGTTTTTACACTTACAACTTAAGTGTCCTTCATTAACTTGATGTCGACAACAACTGGTTAAACAAGTTAACTCTACGAGGCATTATATTTAAAACAAACATTTATTACACTGGCGAGCATATACACTTACTTCAGAATATAATTTAATAAAACCGTATAAAGTATAGATTTTAAATTCAGTAAAAGAAAGTAACAGAATGCGGCGAAATCTTTGATATTTGAAACAAGGTAGTAACTCTAGCGTCTCCAACTACTTAACGAATCAAAGATCACGGCTAATGAAATACAACTGCATAATGATTGTAACTAAATACGGGTCCCATTAGAAATCGATTATTTAATAGTATGTTGGTGTTGTTACATAAATCATTGTAACTCATTGTTAGATGGCAGACATAGCAGAAAATAATGGGCCAAATAGAAAGTACATTAGCGCACATGCTCGGTTCACATGCAACGATGCCTCTATCACATAATTAAAAAGTGATTTATAAACGCACGTCACAATTTGTATTGTTTTTACCGAGACACTGTTCTTCACAGCACATTTTCTTTTCTTTTAGCCATATTTGTTAATTGTTGGCAACGAATTGAGTCTATTTCGTCACGTAATGTCACCCTATTCCTATTTATAGTAACTGATATCGCTTAGGTAATTAATCAAAATGAAATAATACAAATCACCTTTCACTATACTTTTGTAATATACTTAACAATATCTAGACGTATACCCATACTCGTATATATTCTACACGCAAAAAGTAATTGTACAAAATTTTTAATTGACACTGCTAACTCGATTCGAAAGCATAAAATTGGAGAGTCATGATATAGATAAATTTAATGTTTCACATCTAGTTGAGATGGTTTTGAGAAAATATCGAAATATGTTTAAAATAGTTTGCTTTTTAAAGATATTGCAAATTAAATTTTCTGTAATATATTATTTTAGCATTCGGTTAACATTTTTATTTTAAATTAACATTGATTCAAACAGGATAAGCGCATTTTCCCTTCCACCTGCGAAATTATGATTTCGTAGAAGACGTGTAAATTCGATGGTCACTTTCGCAAAATTTTACGTCATCGGTATCTTTAATATATTTCGGTAGAAACTATTAATTAGCAAAGTCAAAGTCAAAACGTTTATTTCATCGAATCCTTAAAAATACACTATCAAGTAAGTTTTAGTAGTAGACACATGTAAAATGTTTTTCTTCAAGTTCTCCATAATTATTCGAAAAAGAACATTTTTTTCAACGGATTGGATATAAAAGTATAGTGTTTACTATCTTATCCTAACTTATCAGTGAGATTGAAGATGTTAAATCATATTATCAGGAGTGATGTATTACTTGCTTGGAACCATTGAGAAATGAAACAAGTGAGCGGCAATAATTACCTTTCGGTTTGCCATAAACCACATGTGTGAAGTAACGCCGATTACCAACATGTTCAAAACTTTACGTCACAATACTTATTAAACGGAACGTTAAAGCATTTTACGTAACCAGTTAGATCCTTATCTTTTAACTTAAAACAAGTTTTTTAATCGTAGGAGTAGCTTTGTTGTAACCTCGTTACACATACAGATAAATATTACAACAATAACTGTTATTATCTGAATCTGATAAAAATTGTATCATGCAGTGTGCCCGAAAGAGGAAACAAAAATGACTTAATCAATTCATAGATTAAGTCATAAAGTGAAAAACCCCTGGGTTTTACTTTAAAAATATCCTACCGGTTTTACCGTTTAATTAGGCAACTAATTAAAGCACAGAAATACCACATAAATAATCATAACGGTTTTACGGCAAACGCTTATCGCAGCTTTACTTACTTCAGTATAGAAATTACATTACCTCCTATCGGCAGTGTCACAAGTTTCCAAATATAGTCAATTAATGTTAACCCTAAAAGCATAGTTTAAAGCTGGGACAGTATAAATGGTCTAGGCGATACTTGCGAGTGAAATCCGCTGGAAGCCGATGCAGTGTAACGGGTTATTCTCGTCGATGGATTTGTTGACGAGTCGAGAATCGTTGACCCCGTCG